CCTTCCAGCCTCCTCCTTCAGACAGGCCGTCATGCTTCTGCGCCTTCGCTCTGCAAGTGCCTGTTCCCCTGTCCGACTCCTCCGCCCCCTAGAAAAGTGGCCCCTCACTTCTTCCTGCCACCGCAGCATCATTAACACGGACTCCCTAACGTTGATGAAACGTGCTTAATTACATGTCCATTTCCTCTTGACTGTGACGGCCTGAGGATGGAAACCATCGTTTGTTTGAATCCTGAAAGGCATCACGCCTCGCTCGTTACCTGGCACACGGTAGGAATGAAGAGTGAATGAATGTGGGACCATCGGTCCACCTGCCTCAGGAGGGAGAGAGAGATAGAAAGGCAGTGACATATGTCAAGTGCCTACATATGCCGCAACTCTAGTAGGTGTTTATCTTTTTTCTTAATGTTTATTTGTTTATTTTGAGGGGAGACAGAGAGAGGGAGAGAGAGAGAGCGAGAGAGAGCACGAACAGGGGAGGGCCAGAGAGAAAGGAAGAGACAGAATCCCAAGCAGGCTCTGCACTGTCACTGCAGAGCCCGACATGGGGCTCAATCCCACGACTATGACATCATGACCTGAACCGAAATCAAGTCAGATGCTTAACCCTTAACCGGCTGAGCCACCCAGGCAGCCTGATAGTAGGTGTTTTACCTGATAAAGATAAGATAAAAGACAGCTTAAAAATATAAGAAGCCTGTAGTCGGGCATCTCTGTGGGGCAGGTGTTCATATGCCAATTTTATGAGGATAATGCAGGATGACGAAGCTGGGGTTTAGTAACCTCTTCAAAGCAGGTTAAATGTATGCACTCACCTTCCTCCTTTCACCGGCATTAAACATATTTGTTGAGAAACTCCAAGAAACATGGCCTTGGGTGTTGGCATCAGTCTGGCACAGCGTGACCTAGAACATGGACGAAAAGAACATCTGCAAATACTCCTTCATAAACAAGGTCCACGTCAATGACCAATCTTGATCCAACTACACCTGAGCCTGTATAGAGCCGGGGGACGGGGGGGGGGGGGGGTGGGATCCGCTCAGGAACACCTGAATGGCTTATCTAGAGACTGGATAAGACAATGGACTTGAGATCTGGTGATTTTCATGAGTGGATAAGGAAAAAGGTAAATACATATTCAGAAACCGAGATGGGAAAAATCCCCTTTTTCCCCCTATTATTAAAATCTTGAATTCACCATAGCCTTGTTCTAGCCTGAAGGATCCAGTTCTGGACCAGCTAGTCTGCTTGGTGTCCTGTGCTGTCTTTCCGATTAAGTCCCCTTGTGGCCTTACGCTGTCAGATTTATCGTCAGTGTGTCTGTTCACATACTGTCTCCGTCTGTTCAGGCTGCTGTAATAAAGCACTGTAGACGGGGTGGCGTATACACAGCAGAAATCCATTTCTCACAGCTCTGGAAGCTGGAAGTCCAAGGTCAAGTTGCCAGCATGGTTGAGAGGTGGCCCTGTTCCAGGTGGCAGACTTCTCATTGTTGACCTTGTATCCGATACCCTTGTGAAATCTACTTATTATGTAAGTTTGCTAAGGCTGCCATAGCAAATACCACAGACTGAGTGCCTTAAACAACAGATAGGTCTTTTCTCACAGTGCTGGAGGCTAGAGGTCCAAGATCAAGGCGTCGGCAGGTCTGGTTTCTTTTGAGGCTTCTCTTCTTGGCTTGCAGATGGGCATCTTCTCCCTGGGTGCTCGCGGGATCCTCCCTCTGTGTGTGCACACGCCTCTGCCCTAATCTCCTCTTCTTATAAGGACACCAGTCATACTGGGTTAGGGCCCATTCATGTGAGATCACTTTACCTTAACCGCCTTACTGGGTTAACACAACTTCCAGTGATTGTGGATCACAATTACCGTAGGTCAGAAGTCCAGCCTAGCTCGGACGGTTTCCAGAGCTGGGCACGCTTCAGAGTGCCCAGGGTCATTTGCATAGGGGAAAGCTCACTTTAATCCATTTCTGATTCGGTTTGGGATTTGCATTTCGGCCTTCAACTTCCACTTGCTTTTAATCCATTTCAAAACCATTCAGAGCTGTGAAGAATGCCCGGATGCAATCAAATCCAAAATCCACTTAAGAAGCGCTTTGAAATGAGATTCTCCAGGTCTTGTGACCCCCCACCGCTCTGCTGGAGCCATGACTCGGTCGGTGTTCCCTCTCCATCAGCATTTTTTTTTTTTTTTTTTTTTTTGGAAACTAAAATGGCACTTGGCGTAGATTTCTGGGCTTGTCTTATGACGGAAGGAGCCGGTGATTAGGGTGCCGGAGATCTCTGTCTCCCCCACTGCGCTCAGCACACAGTAGCTGGTCAGTCAATATTTGTTGAATTTGATTGGCAGGAGAACAGTTTTGGTGGGAAAGCATTCTAAACCGTAGACATGTCGAAAAGCCTAAATCAGACTTCCGGTAAGCACATCGAGATTATCTTGTCTTATAAACAGTCAGCTGTCCCGAATAACTTGCCCGGAATCAGCAGAGCGTGGAGCACTCAGGATTTCCTTTTCTTCCTTTCACTGTCTGGGGGAGGGGCATGCTTTGTTGGACTTCCCGGCTCGAGATGAGGCAAGCAAGTTGTCCTCCTGTGGTGCCTCTCAAAGACCTTGCCCTCGCCCCACCCCACCCCCTCCCGAGGCGACGGCTGAGACGTATTTCTGTCACCCAGGGATGGGGCAAGCGGAGTGAAATTAGCCGAGGGAAGGCAGCCCAAGGTCACGCTGCACAAGTGGCCGGGGGAAGCTGCGATGCTGGGCTGACCAGGTCTCTGGACCTCCTCGTCTGGGGAACTAGGCACTGGGGGACGGGTTGGTGAAAGACCTGAAAATAAGCAGCTCACGATACAGTGTGGCTAAGACGAGGTCAACTCCAGCAGCGGGCGCCGGGTCGGGGCTCCGGCCTAACCGGAAGCCAGGGAAGGGAGGACTGTCCTCAGGAAAGGGCTTCCCGGAGCAAATGGCAAGAAAGAGGTCAGTTCAAGTTCGTTCTAAGAGCTATCTGGCAGCTCGTAGAGAAAGAAACACAACATCCAATAAAACCTGGAGACGATGTGAATGCAAACCACGAGATACTATTTTCGGACGCAGAATTGGTACAAATTAAGGTGCTTTCTGCAGCCAGCTGGCGAGGACAAAGGGGAAGGGAGCCTAGGTGGGCGGGGGAGAGGAGACTGGTGCAACCTTCCTGGGAGAGGATTTGAAGTGCCCACCCTTTAAGCAGGCAATTCCAGGGCCAGGCATTTCCTGGCTGGGAAAGCTTTCTCCCTACCAGCTTTCGTATCATCCGTGTGTCCCCTGGAGGGGCACCTTTCATTGTCCTTCAAGAACTTTTCCTTTTTCCCGTCGCAGTCACAGCTTGGCTAACTGTTGGGCAAAGGAGGCTTAGCTCTCAGCCTACGTCGGCTTTGGACGCGCCTTCTTCGCTAAGCTTTTGATTTGAAGGGAAAGACACGGGACTCTTCCCTTCCCTTGAACACTCAGAGGCCACGGTAGGGTTATTCACTGGCCTGAAGTCAATATTGTGTCTCAGGGAACAGGGAGGCCTGAGGAGAGGGAGAAAGACGGACGGGGGGTGGGGGGAACCACTGGCCAAAGCAATGTTGCAGAAAACCTTCAATTTGTTTAAAAAAAAAAAAAAAAAAAAAAAGGTAGTGTCTGCAAAGCGCCCTGAAGCGAAGCGTGAAAACAGGAGGTGTGCCTGTCTGTACTTTCTTTGCTTCCTGGCAGTTCCTGGGGTTGGGTGATTAGCATTCTCCTCATCGCGGCCCTCCCCCCACATCCAGCTCCCAGAGCTTCAAGCCGAGGCCCCCGTCCTCAGGGAAACTCAGCGTGTCACCCGAAGCATTTAACAAGTCAAAAGGCCACACGTCGAGCTGAAGCTCAGAGAGAACTGAATAGCCCCTCAGGTGACTGGGCTGCACCCAACCATTGCTCCGGTGAGGCCCTCCCACCCTGTAAAAAAAAAAAAGAAATATGTCAAATTTAATTCCCCCAAGATGCAGGTGTGGAAGCAAACAAGGGCGCCTCTCAGCACCTGTGCCATGGCCTGCGCACACAGGGGACACCGATGCTGAAATGGCCCCGGCACTGCCCACTCCTGCCGAAGTATGAACTCAGTGGACAGAGAAGGGTGAAAACAGAAGCACAGAAAAGCCTCTCACCTGTGTGCTCGCAACGTTAGGCAAATGGCAGGCTTTTCCTTTGGAAATGAGAATTAAAGGGTAGTTGGAAACTACCCATGAATTTGTATGTATTTAGCAACGAACGACATCATCCGGGGCACAGAGATGTTAGGTGGGGACTCCGGCTCTGGGACGCGCCTCTCCGGCCGCAGGGTCTGGGGCTCTGAGGAACCACCAAATTACGGCTGGTGGGGTAACACAGGACGCGGAATTGGGGTAGGGGGTTAATTGCAGTGTCATGGGGAGCCCGGAGGAGACTCCACCCCCAATTTGAGCCGCCTGGAATTTACACTTCCCCGCAGGAGGTCGGGAGCCCCCAGGGACCCCTGGCGACCCTGAACTTCCCCTTTGAGAGTTTCCCCGCCTTTCTCCTCCCGCTGGTGGAGACACACCCAACCGGGCCGCCTAAGCACACCCAAGGCCAAGCACTGGGCTCAACACACCTTTTTTGGGGGAAAACAAAGATGAAAGCAAGTTTCAGGTAAAACCTGACAATTAAATGTCAAGCTCCTTGAGAGACCCATCCGAGGTGTTGAGGGTTTCCTGATTAAAGCAGTCCCTTTCCACCGCTCCTCCAATCTGGAATCACCTACTGGACAGAATAATTGATTTGTTTTTGTTTGTTTGTTTGTTTTTTAAGAGTAAATCTGTTGTTTTTAAATGGCAACTAATTATAGAGACCTAAGGGCTAGTTAACCAGCTTTATAAGACCCCACCTTTTCTCTCTTTGTCCCAGGGCTTCACCGCCTCCTACCTCAGCCCCCGGGAGGTTTCCATGGTAATGGGCTTGGGTCTCCGCCTCTGAGCCCACCTGAGGGCCCTCCCTGGCGCCCTGCGTGGTTGTTGAGGAAGGAGAGCCCCCAGCAAGGCTGATCCCCGGCTTAGGTCAAAGCATTCCTCAGGACCGAGCTCGGCGATGAGCCCCCAGTCTCCCCGGACATCCTGGTTCCTGCTTCTCCTAAGAACTTCTGGGCAAAGTGTAATTCTCACCTGGGATACCCTTCTTTCTAGATTCCCATTTTCGCTTCAGGAAATCCATGTTTTCCTTTAGGTGTTCTAGCAACGGCTGTGAATTAAAGTCATGCTGACATCGTCCCCCCCTAGTGTGTTAGGAGCTGTGGACCGCAGAAGCATGGAGCGCCTCTCTTGCAGGTATGAACCCATCTTGAATGTGAACTTTTGATCGCTAGAGCTTACCAGCTTCAGAGATAATGGTCTGCGCCTCTCTGTCATTTGACTTCATCCTGCTTGAACCTTAAAAGGGCTGCCAGCGGTGATGCTGTTTTTCCCGAGAGACCTGGAACTTCACACTTAAGAGTTCCATCCAGCGTTGCCTGTTGGCTTTGAACTTTTTCAGTGGGGGTAATGGCGCCATCTATCAAATGACTAGGGCTTTCCTCTCTTGTGTAAGAAAAGCTCAGTGTCACAACCAAATGAAAAATCTGCTTCTAAAAAGTTGAAAGGCACAGACAGATTCGATACTTGCAAAACCCTGAAGAACGATGGGGGTGGGGAAGGGATTGTCCTAACCTTAAAGTCTTCTAAGTGACTGGTTTAAGTGAAATAGTTTGCGAGATGTGATTCATCAATTGCACAGAATGTTATGGCGTCATTTGTGAAATCGAAGCCAAGAGATTTTCGCCTACTTAAAATTATGTGTATATGAGGACAGAGCCTATGAAGTCATAATACATATTGGAAGGAACTGGCTTTTAGGCGGCTTTTATTCTCATCATTCTTTCTGCTGTTTGATGAATTAGCCATTTAAAAAGAAAGGAAAGGAAAACAAAGGTGGAGTTCTACATTTTCTCCCTAGTGGTCTGTGGTCTTGTCCACGTGTTGAGAAAGCCCAGGTGCTAACTCGAAGAGCTTGATTTGCTTTGTTTTGCTAACGGATGTTTGATTTCCTCCTCCCAGTGTGATTTTGATCGTGGCCATTTCCAAAGCGTTTGAACCGGAATTCGCCGCCGCAGCCGGTGAGGGAAACTTTTATTTTGATCGGTAGCAATTCTCACGTGGCCTGAAATACTGACCCCACCGAGCTAATTTTGTCCTTCAGGGTTGGGCCACCCCCGTGAACTTGCACGTCCCCCTCAGGGAGACCCCTCCTGGAGAGATAACGGCCTTCCGTCCCTGGAGGAGCCTGCAATTCGCCATCGATCTTTGCAGTTGGTGCCGTCCCTAGGAATCCAGGACAGTAAGACATACCTGCCTGCCTTAGATCTACAGCGCTCTCTCCCCGTCCTGGGCCCCCGTGCTTCCTGTCTTTCTGATGCTCTTTCTCCTGAGTGGCCACCTGATGCTGGAGCCAGGTGGATGGTTGGACTGAACTTGGCTCTGGAGGCCAGACCAACAGTGTGCATTTCACCTCCCTGGGACGCGGTTTCCCCCCTGCTTCTCTGGGAACCACCCCCGGCCTGAGCATGAAAAAAAGCAGAGGCGCGATAGCAAAGCAACATCAAAAAAACAGCGTCCTGGGGCGCCCGGGTGGCTCAGTCGGTTAAGCCTCTGACTTCAGCTCAGGTCATGATCTCACGGTTTGTGGGTTCGAGCCCCGCGTCGGGCTCTGGGCTGACAGCTCAGCGCCTGGAGCCTGCTTCCGATTCTGTGTCTCCCTCTCTCTCTGCCCCTCCCCCACTTGTGCTCTGTCTCTCTGAAAAATAAATTAAAAAAAAAAGAAAACAGCGGAGCCCTATTTTGTAAGGTTCACAATATTTAGACCTCGCCAAGCACTGGGAAGACCAAGCCTTCAGCACTGTATTAACCTTTGCTTTTCCAGGACCTCAGCTTTTCAGTTCCCCCACCCTCTCAGCTGCCTCCTCTTCCATTTCAGGTAAGGAGCTGAACAGAACCTGCTGTCTGAACGGGGGAACCTGCATGCTGGGGTCCTTCTGTGCCTGCCCCCCCTCCTTCTATGGCCGGAACTGTGAGCACGATTCACGAAAAGAGTAAGTGAGCCATTAAGGCAGGGGCTGGGGGAGGTGGATGGAGGGGGAAAGAGGTGAGGGTGAAAACCCATATGCGTCACCTTATCTGTTCCTTTTCAGGAACTGTGAGTCTGTACCCCATGGCGCCTGGCTGCCCAGGCGATGTTCCATTTGTAAGTGCTGGCACGGCCGGCTTCACTGCTTTCCTCAGACATTTCTACCCGGGTGTGGTAAGCGGATAGTCCCCTCTTTGGCGCTTTCAAGTTAGGTGCCTGTGGCCACTGGGTTAACGGGGTCTCTCCTCTTAGTTCATGGCTTGCCAGACCCTGGCAGCCAGATTGTGCTTGTGAAAGCACCGAGGACCCCAGATGGGGCGGGCACATGCGCGTCCTTTCTATTTATTTTAAATTCACTGCCTCAGAAATGTCGCCTGGGAGGTGGAGACAGTTATTTCAAGCCTGTTTGACATTTTATCGTATGTGGACTTCTGCGAAAAGTAAACAAGCAAACGCTTGGCCTCTTAAACACCAAGAGATGCTCTCCATTTGGGCAGGGAGACCCAGGCAAGCCCCAAGCAGACAATTCAGTGCCCACCCAACTCCACCTCACGCCCTTGAATTCCACCGGCTGCTTGACCTCCCTCTCGCTCCTTGAGAAGCTCATGGATCCTCCAAGGCCCCCGCGTGGATCCCCCGGGTGAATGGTCTCAACCTTGTCACCTTGCTGATTTGTACTGATTTGAGGAAAACAATAACAAGAAGGGCAGGGACCCAGGGGAGGACAAGAGTCGAGAGGGTTCTCTCCTCGCCCTGACCTGAGCCAGATTTCTAGGTGCACCCAGGTTCAGAGGCCTCCCGTATTCTGACCGTGTAGATGTTAGAAACTGCAAATGGTCAAGTCCAGAAATGAAATGAAGGCAAATGCTTCACTTGAGTACAAGATGGGACCCCCGACCCAGGCGGGGATTGTGGCTTTTCCATTTTACATCCATCTGGATGTCAGGCCCAGGATAGGTAAGCATGGATAGGTGGAGACCATATTTTCTTCCTGGAACTTAGGACCCAAAACGTGCTGTCTCCTTAACATCAGCGCCTAACCAGGTTCGGCTGCATCCCTGCCATTGTCACCGGCTGGGGTACTTTTCCAGGTGTGAGGGCATGTGTCCAGGGAAAACCAAGTTAACGGGAGACCCATGTCAACTTGTGTTGAAAGATGGTTTTTCAGGGGAGTCTGAATTCCACGTAATCGGTACTGTTTGGTCCCATGAGCACCCTGTACTCGCCAAATGTGGGGTCCCAACTGATTTTTGGCGGGTGTAGACATGCCATGTGCGCAGGATCAACTGCAGGAGGGATTTCCTTTAATGACCAAGTGTCCTTACCTTTCAGATGGCCACGTGATGGATGAGCACTTCCTGGTTTCCAGGACTCCAGAATTAGCACCGTCTTCAGGCATCACTTTCTCTCTAGCTGGCATCTGCCTTGCTATACAAAGTTACCGCTAACAGACACCGGCATGTGGGGTATTTCCATGCAAACCCCATAACCTGTAAAGGCCGTCACCCTAATGTCCTAACTGGAAGATGATCATTTGTTAGTTGCCTTGAAACAGCGGATGGATTTTCATCACGGTCCGTAACACTTTCTTAAAGTCCCAACTACTTTCCTCTGCCTTCTCCTCTCCAAAAAACTTTTGTTAAAAAAAAAAAAAAAAAATAAAGACGTCAGCCATATCTACACTGTGACCAAGTTCTGTTTCTTGATACATGTTTCTTTACCAAGGGCTTCCTGTTTCCTTTAAACAATTGAATTCTATCTTCAGATTATTAAAAGCTACTCCTATTGTGGAACTGGGGCTAAACTGAGGAGTAGAGTTGACCAAAATCAACCAAGATCTCACCTTTAGGGGCGCCTGGGTGGTTCAGTCGGTTAAGCGTCTGACTTTGGCTCAGGTCATGATCTCACAATTCATGGGCTCAAGCCCCGCGTCGGGCTCTGTCCTGACAGCTCAGAGCCTGGAGCCTGCTTCCGATTCTGTGTCTCCCTCTCTCTCTGCCCCTCCCCTGCTTGCGCTCTGTCTCTCTCTCTCAAAAGTGGATAAACAGTAAAAGAAGAAGAAGAAATTATGTTTTCTCCACACCTTGCAAGTATTCTAACTGTTGTAAAAAGAAAATGTCCACAATACATGTATTTCGTTGTAAACCAGGTGGTAAAACTATTTTGTTGTAACTATTTGTTGTAAAATCCATTTTTAAAATAGATTGTGTGTGTGAGTATGCCCAGTAAAAATGGGAAATCTATGGACCAGAAGGTGACGTGTGCTTATTTCTAGGCAGTGCTGACAGGTTCTTTGTGGTGGTGGGTTTTTTCCCTCGCACCTTTGTGTTTTCCACAGCAAGGGTGTGCGCCGTCTGTTTTCGTGGGGACTAACTACAAGACTAACTACATCACACTCAAGGGCTCAGACCCAGTGTTGTCTCTGGCTTTGGTGTATGTGCTGTGCTGTGAAGAACAACATCTGCTTCCACTATTCAGGTACCGCTTGGTCCCCAACTCCTTCTCCACCTTAATGCCTTTGCAGATACAAAATCCCAAAGGGGTGGGATTTTTTTCTTTTTTTTTTGCAGTGTCCAATGGCTAGAAGATGATGTGGGGTCAGCAGGAAGCAGTGAGGGGCACCCCAGAGACCTCAGCATGGGGGTGAGCTGCCCGGTGTGGAAGGGTATTCTAGCCCTGCACTGGCTCTGGGACCCAGTGTCCCAGTCTGTGCACCTGGGCTAGTCCCTACACCAGTGTTAGAATTAAGAAGCTAAAGCAGAGCACTAGTACAGAAATTCTCAACAAATGTCACAATTCTTCGCTTTGTGCCTGTTTGTTTACTAAAGCGTTTTTGCCCAGAAATGGAAATTTAAAAAAAAAAAAAAAAAGGCAACTTCAGAATATTGAAAAAGCCTTCCCATTTGCATGCAAATAACCTGTAACCACACACCAGTGAGGCTGGGACAGTGTTTTCCAAACTTGGGTATCGCATGCCACCTCGATTTGAGCCACATCATCTGTTTATGATTTTTTTATGATTTTTTATAATTTTTATAGACGTATATATCTTAAATATACATAATATAAAAGTTAGCATCTCAACCGTTATTAACTACAAAGTTCAGTGGTACTTTTCAGTACTTTCACATTGCTAGGCAACCGTCCCCACTCATGGGGTTTGGGGTGATGGTGGGATCCGGAGCCGATGGCCGAAAAGAATTTTTGAAGACGTCTTTGGTGCAAAAAGGTGGTTTTATTAAAGCACGGGGACGGGACCTGTGGGCAGGAAGAGCTGCATTGGGGTTGTGAGGGAGAAATGATCATATACCCTGAGTTGGGAGGGGGGTTAGGGGTAGAGTCAGTCTCTAAGGTATTTGGGAAGCAAGGTTTCCAGAACCTTGAGGCTAGGTGTTGTTAGGAATATGCTATTTATTACCAATTTGGTAAAACCTCAGTCATGAGACCCTTCAGATGTATATCAGGGACCATATGTTTGGGGTATGATTGCCAGCATATGTCTTGGGGGAGTTGAGATAAAGGAAGTTTCCAAAGAAATCTTTATATGTTAAAGTAGACTTACAGGGCGCCTGGGTGGCGCAGTCGGTTGGGCGTCCGACTTCAGCCAGGTCACGATCTCGCGGTCCGTGAGTTCGAGCCCCGCGTCGGGCTCTGGGCTGATGGCTCGGAGCCTGGAGCCTGTTTCCCATTCTGTGTCTCCCTCTCTCTCTGCCCCTCCCCCGTTCATGCTCTGTCTCTCTCTGTCCCAAAAATAAATAAAAACGTTGAAAAAAAAAAAAATTTAAAGTAGACTTACAGGATCCGGGGGGGGGGGGGGGTGAGGATAATGTGAAGCCAAGATTCCCTTTTGCCCCTAGCAAAGTGTCACCATCGAGGCAGCTGAGCTCCTAGAGGGAGGTCACTTTCATTGGGAGGGAATTTGATTTTTCGTTTGCCTTAGTTTCCCACATCACCATGGCAAGCCCTGAAACCCCTTTCCTTTGTTCTCGGGTAGCCAGGAGTGTCCGAAGAAAATCACACACATTCCCCTTGGAGGGAATTGTGAGGTCCTAAATGATTTACACAAGTCTTGAAATTCAAAAGCAGTAATAATGAATCATAACATTCACCTGTACGCCATCTAAAATCATAAACCAGATGTACATTTTGGGGAATGGTGCCCCAGGGGATACAAATGACTAGATTCTACCTTCAAAAAGCTTTATAGGCTTTTCAAAGCAAAGTGCCCATGTGATGAGGCAGTTCCAGACCAGGCGCCCAGACTCTGGGGGAATCAGGGTCATTCATGGTCCTGAGGAGGGAATCCAGGCTTTTGTGGCCATCAGCCCCTTGTGCTGTTGATTCCACTTCCTCCAGGATTCAGATTGGTCCTGGAAGAACTTTAAGAAAAGGATTAGTGGACCAGACTGCAGTCTCCAAGCTCGGGGGCACAGCTGGCTAAGGCAGCCCTCTGCTCCCCCCTCCACCCATTCTATATTCCCTTACCCTGGGCCAGCACAGCTGCTACTTTATGTGGCTCACCTGGTGGAGGGGCTTGGCCCTCGTCCCTGAAGTCTGTGTCCCTGACCTCCATGCCCTTCTCACCTGTGGCTGCAGTATTTGCCCACTGACCATCTAGCTGGGCAAGGAAGACCAAGATATGCCTCCGTGAGTCACCTGGGCTTTGGATCCCCCACAGCAACCAATTGTTAGGTGTTCTGTCCTGGGGAGGAAGCATCTCCTTGTTCTAGGTGGTTCCCTTTGAAAACAATTCCCAACAAGACACAGCTATGAGCCGGCACTCTTTTCTGATTCATCCCCCAGGGAATCCTGCCTCCCCACTCCCCACCGCCTTCTCCAGAAGCACCCACTCAACACTGAGTGGGTCTAGCTGCTTCAGTAACTGTAAATAATTGACTCTGCCCTACTTAATTTTTAAAAATATTTATTTATTTTTTGAGAGAGAGAGAGAGACAGAGTGTGAGCAGAGGAGGAGCACAGAGACAAAGACACAGAATCTGAAGCAGTCTCCAGGCTCTACGCTGTCAGCACAGAGCCCGAAGCGGGGCTCGAACCCATGAGCCATGAGATCATGACTTGAGCCGAAGTCGGACGCTTAACCGACGGAGCCACCCAGGTGCCCCAACTCTCCCCTATTTATAACTCCAGTGGTCCATAATTATTTATCTTTCTGACTCATTATTTTATGGAACCAGGTACATATCATTTCACCTCAGGACTTCGCTGGCGATGTTCAGCAAACAATCATTCAACAATAGATGGTTAATTTCCTTACCTCTTTTCACAGCCTAGACATTCATCGGGGAGCATGAGCTACTCCCAATTATTAGCCAGTATCCTCCTCTAGGGATCCCTCTCTCCCCGCAGCAAAGTCCTAAAACAACCAAAAACAAAACAAGTAAAAAGGGGGACGGGAAATTCAGGGAGTCTGACCACTCCACACTTTTCCTGCGAGAAGAAACCCCATCCTGAATGTCCCCACGGCAAGGGTGCTGTTCTCCTTCCTTTCCTCACTAGGCTACAAAAGGGACAACAGGAACACAGCCTCTCGGGGCCAGAGGTGGGGGGAGGGGGGGCCTCCAGCTGTCTTCAAACAGTTAGAACGCAAGTACATGAGACCTCACTGTGTGGGCTTGGAGGTGCTTGTTTGTTTGTTTGTTTGTTTGTTTATTTTGAGAGACAGAGAGTGTAAGTCCGGGAGGGGCAGAGACAGAATGGGACAGAGGATCCAAAGCAGGCTCTGGTCTCAAACTCAGAAACTGTGAGATCATGACCTGAGCCGGGGTCAGACGCTTAAGGGACTGAGCCACCCAGGTGTTGCTTTTTTTTTTTTTTTTCCTAAGGCTTCGCTTAAAAAAATTTCCAAAACTAACAGAATCCTTTGGCTCTACGTTGTTGTCTGCACCCGCACTGGAAGAGTATTCAGCTGTACTGATTTTGTAAACTGGACACATGATTCCTTTGATTTAAAAAAAACAAAAAACATGAAAGAACACTAACCCTGTTTATTAAAGAAGCCAACAGGAGAGAAAGGGAAGGCTCTGGGGAGGGCAATGCTAGAGCCAAGGACCCTGCAGAGCAGTTCAAGGACAAGGCTAGGCATGGCCACCAACTCTTTGCTAAGGAAAGGGCCACGGGCAGGACCAAGGGCAGCCCTGATGAGCATCCGAGACCAGGTGGAGGAAGGAACAACCCTGAGAAGACTGCAAGGTGGAGGAAGCTTCCAGAAGGGTGCCAGCCATACTAAGCATGACAGAGAAGTCAGGAGGGAATGGATTTGAACCCCGATTTAACCAGGAGAGGCAGCCCATGGTGCACAACAGGAAAGCGTCCTGGACGCCCCCCCCCCCACCCCGGCCATCCCAGGACTGACAGCCTCGTGGGCTGGCCAGGGAGCCCAGCAAGAATAAATTCTACATTCTAAAAGCTGGCATGGATTTTGATAAGCCTTCAGAAGTGGTCACAAACTTTAAAAATGTAACGCCCCCCCCCGCCCCCGTTCCACCCCGTTCTCTCCCCTTCCCAGCAGAGGGGCTGGCCCTGTGTAATCCCAGCATCTTGCATCTGGGAGGTGAGACAGGATCTGGAGCTCCTCAACCCCCTCCCAATTTTCCTCTCTCTCCCACCCCCACCCCCACCCCCACCCCCACAGGACCGACCACATATGAGCTGAACCCCTGCCACGACAGGCCTCTCAGACATTCCAGAACACTCCATCACGCTGATTTGTTTTCACATCTACTGCCCCCCCCCCCCCCCCCCCCCCCCCCCCCACTGGTCCCTGAGCACCCTCAGCACCTGTGTGCCAACCGCTGGGGA